ATGCATACTAACCATGGAGCGTTTTGATAGGAAACAGTAGATCCAATTCCAGCAGCCTACAGAGTCAAGATACCCATGACCTGAGTTAGCTCTCAGGATTAGAAGCCGTGACCTTTTGGGCCAATGAAAAGCCAGCGATATTTATGATTGCTAATAATAACAGCCTCCTGGCCTGGGTTTATCAATGAGTTGTGAAGAGGTTGGCAAGCCTATACTCCTGGACTGGTATTAAAAATCATATCCTAAGAATTATCACCAGCCAACTTGTGCAGTGGAGTTTTGAGTAGCTGATACAGTAAGAGACAGTTCTAAGCCTGAAGTCACCTTAAAAAGAAGAAACCCTACTTTGATCTGTCACTTTCCTCCTGACAAAGGGGGCTATTTGGAATCTCATTTACTGGCTCCTATGTCCCCAGGTACTAAATGAGGAGCAGGTGTGAGTCAGCCACAAAGGAGCAGTTCATGCCACCAGCTTTACACACTGGGATTTGTCTGGCAGTTTCCAAGGCAACAAGGCAGCCTTTGAGCCCCTGTGAAGATATTGATGCTTCCCAATTTTTGAAGTTGGTATTTCTCCCCTGCATGCCAGCTGTGGCATGGGATGAGTCAACTTACCACTATGCTGGGCATCCTGGCTTTCAAGGCCGAGGGGATGTCTGGGTTAGCTCAGAGTTGCTGTGTGCATTTATAGCCACCAGCAGCAGCATTATGTATCGATGTCCACTGAGCCAGGATACTAGCCTATCCATCATGCTTAAAACTCAACAGGGTAGGCCTCTTTCTGCCTGCCTGAGTCCTTCATATAATCAAAAGAGGCAAAGGTCCAAACAGTCCTTGCTTATAAGTGCTATTATCATTACCATTGTTATCATTTGAGATAAGGTCTCATGTAGCCCAGGCTGCCTCAAACTCGCTATGTAACTAAAAATGGCCTTGAACTCCTTGTCTTCACCTCTCACCTACACTAGGATGACCAGTATGCACCATTTATATCCAGTTTATCAGGTGCTGGGGGATGAACTGAGGGCTTTGTGGGTGCTTAGCAAGCACCCTGCCTACTGAGCCACATCCCCAACCTGAGTAATATTCTTATCTTGGAGTCTGATGCAGGGTTAGAGTTAAAGTGTGGCCTTACCTCTTATAAGTTATGCGACTGTAGGCAGTGACTATACCTTCCAAACCTTGAAAACAGCCAAGAAAGCATGCAAGGAAATCCTTAAAACTCCTCAGTGTGGTCGACAGGAGTCACAGACGGAAATGTTTAGCTTTTAGGACACTGGGAATTAAATCTGGGGCTTCTTGCATGCTAGGAAAAGTGTGCTGCCATGGGGTTGTATGCTGAACCCTCTTACTCTGAGACAGAATGTCACTAGTAATCTGCCCAGGCTAACACTGTGTTCACTCTGTAGCTCAGGCAGGCCCTGAAATTACAATCCTTCAGCCTCGCCTCCAGAGTAGCTAGGTTAATAGGTCTCTCCTATTAGGTCTGGCAGAGAAATGGTTTTTGAAAAAAAAAAAAAGGTATAAAGGTTTTTCTGGGATTTAAAGACACCCAAAGCCTATAAAGCAATTATTAGTTCCTCAGGTAATCTTCCTTCTGCTTACACACATGCCTGTCTGTTCTGAGAAAATAAACAGACACGCCCCCCTTTATGAATATGGTGTTCTGTCAAAGCAAATCTATTCCTTCTCAGCATCAGCCGTGTTTGAAAGCCAGTTCAAGCCTCAAAAGGTATAGGAAACATTTATCTTGGTTAGGATCCTCTGAGTTGTTTATTTACTGTCCTGAGTATGTATGGAAGAAAATCCCTGAGACACAGAAGGTAAGTAATGGGGCCAGCAAGTATTAAAACAAACAAACAAACAAACAAAAACAAACAAACAAAAAAACTCCACACAAGAACCGATGAGCAAAGCCAGAGGCACAGAATATTCTCACAGCTGTCTCTTTGCCCCTGGGAGCAACCCAGTTAAGGTCTTCTCGGAGTACTGTCCTCTTTACCCCCAGCTCTGACACTGACCTTCCAGAATACTGTATGTGCTTCACTGTTCTCCTGAACAACTTCCCCATACTGCCTGGAGGATACAGCCATTCAAAAGCCACAGTCCCTCTCCAAACATGCCTCATCTGCTTTCCTCATGGAAACCGGAAGTGTGTGCGAGCAGCCATGGCTTCTCAACACCCCATGCTTACCTGCCAAGTTGCTCTAGGTCAGAGCCGTGCCCACTTTGCTGAGCTACTCTCAGCCAGATCATTTCTTCAGGGCTAACTTCGGGCCAAGATTCCTCTAAAAGCCCTTCCTTGGTCACTCTTGCCAGCGTGGCCTTTCCCTCACTGGCTGCTGGAGTCCTTCACTTGGTATTTTGTATTTGTACCGTTTTGTTGTTAGTTTTCCACCCACTTGTTAAATGCTCATCTCCTTGACCAGGCCTAACGTCATGTTGGAAATTCTGTATGTTTATCACTCTGTCACGCATGCAGTTGTGTTTGCTGTGTTTTGCAGGCTCTGGTTACTTCAAACATTGTCTTTGGAAAGAGGAAGCTTGAGCTTGCCGCTACAGCTGGCTGCCACACGGCTCTGGCCCAAGTCCATTATGGCCCTGGACCTCAAATCCATTACCCAATTCAGGAGATCCGACCTCTGACATCCTTGTCAGACCTAAGGTCCTGGAAGAGGGACAGCTTTCCTCTACCATTATTTAGCCTGTTTACCTAAGATCTATCAAGGGGACTATGGGAAAGTCAGGGATATATTGGGAGGAAGTAAGGATTCAGAAGAACTTAGAAATAATGAGTTTTAAGTAGAGAACAGAAAACTTCAACTTATAAAAGAAAGCAAAATTAAAAAAAAAAAATCTTTCTTTATGCTTTCTCCTTTTAGTGCCCAATAGCAGTTTGCTAGGTAGGAATCCAGGGTAAACACTGCTCATAGGATTCAAGGTGATAGGAGCCATTTTCTGTCCTGTAGTCACCAGCCCTTGTTAGGGGGATCAGAAGGTCAAACTAACACAGGAGAGAAGAGAAAGTCCAGCCTTTAAATGTCCCTCTTCTTGCTGTGAGGATGACAGGCAGCCACAGGTGCATGGCCCTGAGAGGCCCCACTGGCCAGGGCCCATCTATCTATATCCAAAGCCCTCGCTACATAGCCTTTACTTTAAAGGCAGAAAAATCAGCCTTGGCTCAACCTCTACTTTGAGAAAAAAAAATATGCTTGTTGGCGAGGCAAGGGACATCCCTTTAAATGTCCCTCTCAAATCTGGAAGCATCAAAGGTCAGAAAACTCAATCTATGGGTATCACTCACCAGCCATGGTGGTGCACACCTGTAACCCCAGCACTCAGAGGTTGAGGCAGGAGGATAGAGCTTGAGGCTGGGCTTCATAGTAAGACCCTACCACCAAAATCATGAAAGGAAAGAAGGAGACGAGCCTGACTACCTTAGAGCTTTTGTTTTTCATCAGTTTCCATGTCAGTTTGAACTTGGTTTCCAGTTTCTCCATTTACAGCAAACATGGGCCTTACCTCACAAAATGGCGGAAGAGGAGAATAGAGCTAATGGTGGCAGGCTGGGAGAGGGAGCCTTCAGAACCGTCTACATAAATAGCTTCATTTTGCTTTTGTGTATGTGTGACAAATGCTCTCATGTTGCCCAGGCTGGCCTAGAATTCACTATGTAGCCAAGGATGGATGAACTTGAACTTCTGACCTCCCTGCCTGCACTTCCTAGGATCACAGCCATGCATATTACCATGCCAGTTTATACAGTGCTGGGGATTGAACCCAGGGCTTTGTGCATGATGGCCAAGTACTCTACCAGCTGAGCTACGTCTCCAGCCCCATAGACTCAATAATCCAGGAATTTCCCAAAGCTCCACAGGAGGCAGCACAGGAACGGGTCTGTGACTCCCATAGAGTGTCCTTCACAGCAGCCCCAGGCAAGTGTCCTTCTCTTCCTCCTGCACAGACTTCAAGTTCTTGACTCAGTGGAAAATTTTCAACATTGACCACTGAGGCAAGCAGTCACACCTCCATGACCCTAATACTCAGTGAGTGGAAAAGGAAAAGACCAAAGGCATTCTGGGACCAGATACCTCGTGGTCTTGGGCCAGTGGCTAAGCCCATGATGGCACTGTGTTCTGGTGCGGCATGCCTGTGTTCTGTTTTGGGTATAAACCATGGAACTGGAAACTGGTTTTAACTGCCTGGATATTGGTAAGGTGCCATGGTTCTCACCATCCCTCCCACTGTGCTTACATCACAAGGCTGACAAAACAAACCACAGGTGCTTCAGTCATTATGCATGCTTAGCAGGTTCTGCAGTGCCCCGGGGTAGCACGGATCCTTGGCCACACTGGCAGGAACACCTAACAAAACAGCTCTGAGTCCAGTAAGAACACTCAGGGAACAGTAAGAACTTTGGGGAGCCAATGTCAAGGTTGAGGTGTCCATCTGTGTCTTGGCATTCAGGGAAGTAAGCCCTTCTCTAAACCTCTGCTGCTTGGGCTTCTGAATGCTATCCCACCATCAATATAGCTTGGAAACCCAAACCAGAGCCCAGTAGCCTGGCTTAGAAATCCTGCACCAACCCATCCCATAGCCCTGAGTCCCACACGTCCCAAGGAAGCCTGTGCACATCAGAAGGGTGGGTGGCAAAGAAGCCAGCGGGTATTTAAACTTCAGCTCTGAGCAGGGACAGCCAGCTCAGTGTTGGCAGCTCTTTGCCCCCAAACCTCCAGCCTAGTCATCCTGAGTTGGACAATGCTAAGCCCTTGACCCACTGTAGCTAATATATCACTTTCTGTAGCCACGATAGAAAATTTCCCTCGTGTTACTTATTCCTTCCCTCCCAATGGCTTGTTATGGTAAAGCCTACCGAACCTCCCATCATGATCTGTATGGCAGAATGTTTCGTCCTTGCTCTAACCGAATCCTCAGGTTTAGCCTCTCCTGTGTCCTTTCTCCACAGTACTGTGTATTCGCCCTTGACAGCTCCCCCGTACCTGTTCCCTGCTCCAAGTGATCCTCTCAGACAGCAAATCAGCGTTGGTTCTTTCTTCTTCCAATTCAACCTCCAACTGGGACACCTTGTCCTGAGAAAGGAAACAGGCAAGTTCCTTCACTTACACAGGGTTAGGAGCAAGGGGGTCATGGTAGGAAACCCCAAGAGCAAATATGAGAGCTGATGTTTTCTAAAAACCACCATTTTGAGTTTTCAAAGGCAGCACTTGTGTGTAAAGTATGATCTGTGCAACTGCCAGAATTGATTGACAACAGAAATGAAACTCTCAGAACTCTAGTGAATGATGGCCTGTGGGTGACTGAACAGCCCAGCCTTGTCAGGGACAGATCAAAAGCCTCCAGGGAGGACCAGCGAGATGGCACCTACTGCAAAGTCTGAGACTAGACTTCAGACGCACAGCCCACATACAAAGGAAGAGGAGTGATTCGACAAAGTTGTCCCCTGTCCTCCACACTCTCGCTGTGGCACATACACACAACAATACATAAAATAATTAAAAACCTATAAAGAAACCCAACAGCTCTCTCCTGGGAGCAGAAAGTCCCCACTCAGGACATGGTTAGCCCCTGCCTAAAGTTCCCCATTTATCCAGATCACTCAGAACCACAAAATATCCACAGAGCTTCAGCCACCTGGGGCTGAATTAAATAAATAAATAAATAAATAAATAAATAAATAAATAAATAAATAAATATGTTCATTGTGGACGAGTTCTTGAGACCTGAGACTTGGTTAAGTTTTAGTGATGGGATGGGAAGGGCATGACTCATAGCAACATGGCCCTGGCAGCCACCACCCAGAGCAGCTCCCCTCAGGTGCCTTTCATGGTGGCAGGGCCTCCAGAAGCTGTCACTGCAGAACAAGGAGAGAAATGCCTTCAGTGGTGTTTTGCCTCACTGCTGCTTCAAGACCGTATGTTACCCAGACAGCACACCTTGTCTGGACTCAAAGGAGATGATCTGACAATCCAATCTGATTTTCAGCCAAAATCACTTATATTTAAAATATCTGCTTCTTTTATTTTTAGTTAGGTGTGTCTGTGAGGGTATGTGCATGTGAGTGCAGGTGCCCGAAGAGGCCAGCAGAGGGCACCCAGTGGATTTTTTCTCAAGTTGGAGTTACAGGAAGCTGTGAGCCACCCAACATGAGTGCTGGGAATTGAACCCAGGGCCTTCTGCAAGAGTAGTATGTGCTCTTAACTGCTGAGCCATCTCTCCAGGGTCCTAAAATCACTTCTTAGGTTGTTTTTCTTCCCCCAATGCATACTGTCCAGATAACATATGAGGTCTAAGCACAGCTCAACATACCAAGGATCCTTGCTCACTATTTGATAGGTTTCCACTTGGGGTGTGTGTGTGTGTGTGTGTGTGTGTGTGTGTACAAAACAGGCAAATGGACCACAGAAGTCAATGTATCAGGTACCCTCCTGAACCGCTCTCCATCTTATTTTTTTGAGACAGGGGTCTCTTACTGGCCTGGGGCTCACCAAGTAGGGTAGACTGCCTGGCCAGCCCCAGGGATCCCTCTGGCTCTGCCTCCTTGGCCCTGGATTACAGGTGCACATTGACACAGGCAGCTTTTGACATGGATGCTAGGAATCTGAACAGAGGTCCTCACGCTCATATGGCATGCACTTCACCAATGGAGCCATCTCCCTAGCCCCCCAGTTGCTTTTAAGCAGGGCATCCAGGCCCTAGAGCAATCTATTTCTAGTTAACTAGGTTACCTTAGCTTATCTGAAGACAACCCCCTAAAGAGATCAGAAAAAAAATATTAGAAAAAGTCAGCAGCCCCATAAACAAAGCAATAAAATTGCCATCAGATTACCCTGGTCTCTGAGAGAGGCCCATCTAATAAAATCTCCACTGGTTCAAACTTCACTTCCTAGATACAAACTGCAAAGCACCCTGGGGCTTTAGAAAAGCTATTTCTGTTTATTTGCAAAGCTGAATGAGAAATTCATTGATTTTGAGCTCAAGCCATCTCTAGCTGGCCTTGAGCACCATGCCTGTCTTTTATCAAAATCCTGAAAATGTTAATGTCTCCCCCAAAGTCTGAACCTTGCTTTTCAGTCTCTCTCTTATTCTGGATGGACACAGACACAGACACAGACACAGACACACACACACACACACACACACACACACACACACACACTTCTGGCTTCTGGTTTAGGGTCAATTCTCTTGCAAATTATTCCTTTTTAGCAATTCACATTCTTCCCATCATCTCAGAGGGCCAGACATGGAGATTCTGGTATTTTATTTATATGGGTTTTTTCCCCCTCCAGCATTATGTATTAGGCTTGTGAATACTCACCACCATCTGGTAACTGCTTTGGACAGTTTCAGAAATGGCAATGAACTGAGCCATAGTTTGCTGAATTGAGCCATAGTTTGCTGCAAGCTCTAGCAATGATACACACACACACTCAGGAAGATGGGCTAGGAGTAAGAATAGACTGTGTGGTTTGGGGATGAGTGGTTTGGGTCTAAGGCACCGTGTGGATCCTGACTGGACAGTCAGCAGTCTTGCAGCCTCTGTAGGGGAAACATTGCTGCAGGGACACAGCAGCATCAGCTAAGTTCTTTGGGGATCAACTATGTCTTCTTCAAAGCAATGAAGACATTAGAGTAAATCACACCCTTCCCTCCTTCTAGCTTTGACAAACTACAACACAATAAACTGCCTCCCCCACAACGAGAAAAGATCTTAAAACATCAAGCTAGAAAGAGTAAAACCCCAAGACTTCCTGCCTAGGAAACATTCCCCTGGTGGTCCAGACATGTTCTCCACAGCCTGGCTCCTGCCTGTGTACCCACACACCTCCATCTGCTTGATGAGCCGGCTGCGGTCATCCTTGAGGTGACTCTTGGCCTCCAGCTCGTACTCCAGGTCCTTCAGCGACTGCTCCAGAAGTTGCCTCTTTGTGAGCGCTTCATTCTCAGCTCGTTGGTAGTCCCGCAACTCTTCCTCCTTGAGGCGCAACTAGAATGAGAGGGTGTTGGGCGGTTCCCTGAGCAGTGGAAATGACAGCAAATTGAACCATTGCTGGTAGCTCTGGTAACGATACTACCACATGTCGTGTACATGTCTGCGTACCATGTACATTCCTGGCTCAAGGAGGCCAGAAGACAGAGTGCAAAGGCCCACCCCAAAGCAAAGAGGAGAAAATTCCAACCCCCCCCCAGGTTTCACTTTTCCATTTTATAAAGTGAGAGGGCTTTTCAGATGTGAGCAGTAAACTATTAAGTTATAAAGTCAACTGATAAGTTATTGACTATTACTTCAATTACACAGAACACACACACACATACATACACACACACACACGGAGCATGAACAGTTATTGTGATGCTTTTGTATTAGGTATTAACATATTTGTACAGATGTGTGTGTCATTAGGTTGCGTAAGTAATGCCTTTCTTATTTATTACAGGTGGCCATGGTCTAGACCACTTACTTGAAAGTCACTAAAGTAGTTAAGTGTTCTTGTATTGGCATCATCTTGAGAGGGTTAAAGGTTTAAAATAAAAACTTAAGTTAATAGACTCCAAGCAACCAGCAGGCACAAAATCCAAGAATATAATCACACTCATTGGCAACAGCCTTTGCTGTGTAGAGGATGATTGCGATAACTACAGTTCTCTTTTCATCCACAAGGTGGCAGTCATCTAATACTTTTGAGGAATGTACAAGAGCAGTTTGCATCTCAGGAGCCAGCAACCTCGCTGGCAGTGGGAATGTCTCAAATAACCCAACCAGGTAGGCTGACTCAGTGAAGCTCAACTCTGACTCTTTGGTTGCCAGTGTGAAACCCTCCTGGAGATGGAGAAGGCACAGTACTAAGAATAGAGAACCACAGAGCTTTCTTTATTCCTTCAGAGAGCTCATGGAAAATCTGGGGAAACTCCAAAAGATTAGGCTAGTGTAGGAAGATTCAGGGAGAGGGGAATCCAGTATTGTATTCTGATGGAGGCTGGCAGAACCCCAGCCATTTCTAGCACATCCCCACCTGGAAGAACACAACTGCTAGACACAGGCCCTGGGCTGGTTTTGGGTGGCAATGGTGAGCGAAACTAAGTGATATCACAGGGAGTCATCCACAGAGGGACGGAATGGGTGCTCTGGATACCTAGTTTTGAAACATGGCAGAGGGACACTAAACTTATCCAGGACTCAAATGCCCCCATCACAATATAGGGATAATATGAAAACGTACTTTTGAGAATCAGGTGATAACCCAAAAATAATGATCAGAAATAATGTCGATCAAATATACAGCTCAGATTTCCTTCTTGACGTGCTCTGCCACGCCTCTCCTGATACCTAGACTCCGCTAGGTGGGGGAATGCTATTTCCTAAGAGCAGTAGGGCCCTCCTGGGAATAGGACAGACAAGAAAACCACTGTTATCGGCTGCTCACCCCAGGTCAAAAGCCCAAAATGCAGGGCTGAGAGGCTGCTCAATGATTAAGGGCACTGGCTACTCTCCCAGGGCTTTGGTGTAGGCTCACAACCATCTGTAACTCCAGTTCCATGGGATCTGATGATTCCTTCTGACATCCCTGGGCACCAGGCACACACGTGTACACCTATATACACGTAGGCAAAATAATTATAAAACAAAGCCTTTTTTAAAAAGCCAAAACTCAAAAACTCCAGATTCAAAACTAAAAGACATTTTGGATTGTGAATTTAAAAAAAAAAAAAAAAAAAAAAAAAAAAAGCTGGAAATGACAAGTAAAATGTACATAAATATCCCAAAATCTCTGAAGTCAGAAATGCATCTAGTACCAAGCATGTCAGATAAGGGAACAGTCGTCCCACTGAGTATCTAAGAGCAACGTGCCCTGAACCAAAAGTAAGCAAGACTGTCCTAACTGGGACATCTGCATCACTCCTCCCACGCTTAGGGACATCGCAGAGGAGGAGACAGAAAAAATGGAGGAGCCAGAGGAAGGGGCAGAGTGCTGTGTAACACTCACAAGACTGACCCGCCCACATTCCATCAGAGTAGGGAGGGGCTCACACAGACCACACCTCCCTGAGGATTTATCGTCAGTCGTTGCTCATGGAGAGAAAGGCACTTTCTTCAGTGGTGTAGCCACAGCTGAGTTGCCCATGTAAATCATTCCTCGTCACATTACTAAAGGCAACCCAAAGCTGACAGGGACACACAGATGAGGACGTAGAAGGCGGATCAGCAGGAGTGAGGAGACAAGAGGTGGTGCGGTGACTAGGCTCAAAGGACATCGGATACATACAGGAGATGCCATAATGAGACCTGTTGCCATATATAATATCTGACAATGAAAATGTCAGTGCTACTTTGAAGTAGTTACGCAGGGTTTAGAAAATGAACTAAAGGCGAAGTTTAAGACTCACTTCCTAAAGATCACCCTCATCAGACCTCCCTGTCTCACATCGCTGGCAGAACAGTAGTCAGTGCAATGCTCTCAAGGCAAAGGCAGCCAGTAGCCAGCACTGCTCAAACCCCACAGTGATTTTCTACTGAAGTTTCACTGGGGAGAGGAGCAGTGAGCAGAGATAAATGAGCCACTCAAGGGTCCAGGGGGATCTTGATTTATTTCTGTTTTGAACATCCTGACTTCTGTATCAGAGGGGTTGACTCTGCCTCCTTTCCCATCAGAGATGAGGAATCTTTCTGCCATTCAAATACAAAACTATCTTTAAGGGCCACACAGCAGAAACCTAAGAAGAAGTAGGCTGGAGAGATGACTCAGCCATTAAAGGCTAGGATCACAACCAAAAATGTAAGAGCACTGGCTGCTCTTCCAGAGGCCCTGAGTTCAATTCCCAGTAACCACATGGTGGCTCACAAACATATCTAGTGTGGTCTGATGTCTTCTTCTGGCATGTATGCAGATAGAGTACTCATACACATAACATAAATCTTTTATAATATCTACACATATATGTACTCTTTTTTAAAAGTACTATGTGATATCTGTGTGCATGTGCACTCACATACAGGTGCCTATGGTGGCCAGGAGAGAGCACTGGAACTCTGGGACTTAGACTGATATGATAGGTGGTTGTGAGCCTCCTAACACAGGTGCCGGGAATTAAACTCTAGTCCTTTGTAAGCACAGCAAGTACTCTAAACTGCTGAGCCATCTCTCCAGCCCCAGTACATACTCACTCTCTCTTAAATAAGAACCCTGGTCTCCATCTGGCCTTGCCTAATCTTTATGGCCTTCTGCTGCTTCATCTGTCCTGAGAATCTTCATGTTTCCTTCTCCCCCAAAGTGTCTAACCCAACAACCTTAATCAAACAGCCACGTGGATCCCTGGGTAGGGTCACAGTGACAATGTGGTCTATTGAAGTTAAAATAGACCAGGTGTGGGTTGTGTTCTGGCAAATGTTGAACCCCTCCACCCATCTGCTATAAAAACGAAAATAATTTTTTTTCATAGCAAAGAGAACTGTGATGTCAGCGTGCCAGTTTCTATGTTCTTAGGGTCCAGTCTCATGTTACCTGGGGATCTGCTATCAGGCTCCTTTCAGAGAGCGCTCTGGAGATATGTAATAAATATCCATTGTTCTTTGATGGGTTCAGCAGTGACTCAGGGGAAAAACCTCCCTTTGATCATCAAAGAAATTAAAAGTTTGTTGTTGTTCTTTTTAAAGAAAGCTTGTCTTCCTGTGGAATCTGTGGGCTCCTCACACTGTGTGTACAGGGGGATGCTCGGCGAAAGAGAGAGATGCATACCAAGCGTCCAGGACCTAGGGGCCTTCACTGTATTGTTTCATGCATTATCTCATTTGTCACTGAGCCACTAATGTAGAAGAGATGCTGAGAAAATGGACAGATTGTTCAGGACCGTTCAGTTGGCACAGGCTAGAGTCCCAGCCAGGTGTGGTGGCTGACACTGGGAATCCTGGCACTCAGGAGCATGGGGCAGGAGAACAGACATGAGAAAGACAGACAGACAGAAATGGACAGTCAAGGTGCTCCAGAGCCTCCAGCCTTCTGTAAAAGAACACCTAACAACCCCATTCATTTTTCTCTTCCCAGGGCAAGAAAGCAACATTTGCATTTCTTAGCTCTATTACTACTACTACACACAGACCTGGCTGTCCTGGAACTCGCTCTGTAGACTAGGCTGGCCTCGAACTTAGAGAGACCCACTTGCCTCTGCCTCCTAAGTGCTGGGTTTAAAGGAGTGTACCATCACTGCCTGGCCTATTTATTCTTAAGTGTAAAACCAAGAAAGTTTTTAGGGCCAGCAAGTTGGCTCAGCAGGTAGGTGCTTGCAGCACAAACCTGATAATCTCAGTTTGGTCCCCGAACCCTATAAAAATAGAAGGAGAGAACCAACTCCACCAAGTTGTCCCTCAGCTCCACACATTCGCTCCTGCACTTGAACCTTCACATACACATCATACACCCACAATGATAAGTAATAAATAACAAAAATGCTGTTTTAATTATTTCAGCATTCATTAATTCCCCAAGACTTGGAGATGGAACCAAGTCTAGGCAAGCACTCTGCACTGAGCCACATGCCCAGCACTAAAGACATCTTTCAGTCTGCTTTACTGTGGCTGTCATATTCTTACCTACCAGACCACCTCAGTAAAAGTCAAAAAATGGTTATCAGGGCTAGAGAGATGCTCAGTAGTTCGAGCACCAGAGACTGGATCCCAGCAGCTACACCTAAATAAAGTCAGGCAGCTCACGAACACCAGCAACTGCTGCTCCAAAAGATCCAACGCCCTCTGCTGGTCTCCATGGGTACCCGTACATATATGTGTGCAAACACACACATACGGAAAAACACATTCACATACACACATAAGTAATTAAATCTTTAAAAAAAAAAAAAGTTGTTAAAAGAATCTAGTCATTCCCTGCCATCTGGTTCCAGGGATAGAGGAAAGCAGGGATGTGATGGCATGTTTGGACATAGATGGACACAATGTTCTTGCTCCATAAAAAAGTGGCTCATCTTTCCAGGGAGAAAACTTTGGACCAGACAAGAATATGGCCAATGAAAGTTATGTCTATTTTACTTCTGAGCCGGTGGGAGTTTTGTGCCTTAGGATGCCATCTGTTTGTAGTCACTAGAGAATGGAGAAAAGAGCAAACCCCAAAGCTGCCCTAAGCCTATCTCCCTCCCACACACGCACACCCCTCAACAGAAGCCTTGCAAGGCAAGCTGAAGTACATTCTCAATAAGAGATAAAGGCGAGGATTACCCAGCAGGCATTACCTCGTCTTGCATCTTCACGGCTGCTAGTCTGGCCTTTTCCACCTCCAGGCTTTTCTCCTTCAGCTGAGTTTGCATCTCGGCAAGCTCCCGGCGGTTCTTCTCCTTATACTCACCCAGCTGCCTCTGCAGCTGCAAAGAGGATGTTCGGGAGGCCTCTGCAATGTCCGACATCTAGAAGAAGTGGTGTGATATGAACTGGTCCCGCCATGCCGGAGACCCCTCCAACCCAGAGAGCATCTCCTCTGTTCCCTACCTTTGGTGCCTCCTGTGAGGCCGCCAGAAGCAGGCCCTGGGCTGTCTGGCCCTGCCATGGTGACAAAGTGGAGGAGTGAATAGGGACTGAACACATAGTCCTGAAGTCACAGCTTTACTTTTCACTAGCCAGGATGATTGGGGCACATCCTTAGCCACTAAGGGGCTTGGCACTGTCCTTTTTGGAAACACTGTAATCAGAGCTACCTTCCAGAGTTAAGACAATACCCAGATATAGAATTCTAGTTAGAGCTAAAGAGGTCACTAGCAAAATGTCTTCACCGGTAGTCGTCAGAAAATGTCAGCCTCCTTCCCGAGTGTACTTCTGGAAGGCAGGGAGCCTGTCAGCCCTGGGCCTCTCCCTGGGAGAGTCTTGGGTCAGAGGTGAGCTGAGGGACAGCAGGGTTTAGAAACTGCCTTTGGCATTCCTGCATATGTCAGAGAGACTCTGCCCAGAAGCCTCAACTCCAGCTCAATAAGCATTGGTTAAGTGTGTGTCCACACTAGGCCATCTGTTTATTGTTAGCGAGTGACCAGGTGCCCAGAGCCCTGAGGCTTGCAGAGTTTATTTTTCAGATAAGTTACTCCACATCTGGAATTTTCAACAATGGCTGCAGGGGCTCTGCAACGCCCAGGTGCATCTGTGCTTGGGGGACTGTGGGAGAAAGTGCTGGGTGCCCCTGGGCCCCTTGACCCCCTAGCACTGCCTCCTGCCCCCTCACCTCCTTCTGCAGCTTTTCGATGGTCTTGTCCAGGTGCCACCGCTCGCTCTCCATCTCATTCTTCAGCTTTCGCAGCTGCTCCTTCTGCTCTGTCTCTTCCTGGAGTTTCTCTAATAGCTCCTTCTGCTCCTGGGAGGTCTGACTCAGCTCTCTCTGCAGACGGTAGGAGAAACACAGTGGTGTCACTCACCTACCTGGTCATCCCCTCTGCCACAAGTAGCAAGGGGAAATTCACAGCCATGCCACAAAAGCAATGAAACCTGCTACCTCTACGTGAATGGGAAAGAGTCAAGGGAATCGGGGACCAAAAAAAAAAAAGGGAGGGCAGAGAGGGAGAGAGGGAGAGACAGAGAGAGAGAGACAGAGAGACAGAGAGAGAAAGAGAGACAGAGAGAGAGAGAGAGAGAATAGAACTGACTAAACCAGCAACCCTCACAGGAACAGAGTGGCAAATGGACATTCATCAAACAGCCACAATGGCTGGCGGGGTTCAGGCTAGACCCCTAAATCTGAAGTTTGTCATTAAAACAGAACAATTATATCGTAGACCAACCTAAACCAACTCAACAAGCACTCTACCAGCTGACCTCAGTCTCCAGCCTAGCAGAGGCATGCTTTGAAACAGGGTCTCTCTGTGTAATCTTGGCTGCCCTGGAACTCACTCTGTAGACCAGGCTGGCTTCAAACTCACAGAGATCCACCTGCCTCTGCCTCCCAGGTGCTGGGATTAAAGGTGTGCGCCACCACTGTCTAGCACAGGAACTCTTAAGGCCTGGGTAAGCTTGTGTCATTGCAAGAGGCTGCATAGAACAATGGTTGACATTTGGACAGTGCTTAACAGTCTATAACCTGTTGCCACATGCAGTCACTCATGCATTCTGAAACTAAAAGAAAAGAAAAAAGACTTATTATGTATATAGTGTTTTGACTGCATGTATGCCTGCAGGCCAGAAGAGGGCACCAGATCTTATTATGGAAGGTTGTGAGCCACCATGTGGTGGCTAAGATTGAACTCAGGACCTCTGGAAGAGCTGCCAGTGCTCTCGAAAGCTACTTCTAAACATCATAGGTGCTCCTGGGTTTGCAGAGAATACTACAGGTATGCTTGCCGAGCATAGGACATGGGAACGAAAACACCCTGGGCAGGTACCACCCTTCCTGACTTCTGATGGGGTGACCAGGCTGCTAAAGTTCACCCTACAGGGAACCAACATCAACAAAAGCCATTGGGGAAAAGAGAGCAAAGAAAGCTACTCCAAGGCCAGAGCGGGGGCAATCAGCCCACTACAACTACAGTTGGGCACACACCAGAAGGCTCAAACCCTGGGGTTTCTGTTTGGAGCTTATTTCCTGGTGTTGGGGGAAGAAGAGGGAGGAGGGAGAGGAGTTGTTACCACTGGTGAGGTTGAATCCATCCTGTGGAAGGAGCTCTAAGGAACTAGACCTCAAATGTGAACTACCCTCAGGTGGTGGTGGTGTACACCTTTAATCCCAGCACTCCAGACAGAGGCAGAGGCAGGAAGATCTCAGAGGGCAGCGTAGGCTACAGAGTCACTTCCACGATAGCCATGGCTACACAGAGAAACCCTGTCTCAAAAAAAAAGTGAATTCCCTTACAACACTCCATCATGTATCAGGGAGGGGGCTCACCAGGCCCCACCCTCCCTGAGAAACTAAAGGCAGTTAATGGTTACCTGCCTGGGGGAGAGACAGAGTCATTTTCTTCAGTGGTATAGCCACTGGTAAGTTGCCCTTGCTTAGTGAATAACCCCCCCCCATCCATGATCACACAAGCAACCTTAACTCGGGGTGAAGGGAGAGCATAGAAAGGGCCACCAGGCTTGGGAGGGGACAAAAGAAAGTAAGGGAGGGTGAATACGATCATAGTCAATTGTGTGTGAGTGAAACTGTCAAATAAAATTATGTTACATTCAACCAAGTGTATTTTCAATAACAACATGATAGAATAATGTAACTAAAGCTATCAGTAAAAGAAAAATATGAATTCATGGGAACCAACTATACAAAGCTCTAACAAGGGTCCTGTAAAAACCTTCGGGATCAGGCTCAGCTACACCTCTGGAGACCCCATAACCTCACTCACTCCTTCCCTTGGATCCCAACCCAGAGTCTCCGGGTCAGCAGACAGGTCAGTCCCAGCTCCACAGCTTCCCATGGCCCTTCCTCCCTGCCACCGAGGCACCCCAGTTCCCAGTTCCACCTCCTCTGTGTCTGGACCGCAGCATATGAAGACTTCCCAGAACAGCTAGGTTATTTTGGTGTGTTTATAATCTTTCTTCTGTACTAGCTGCACAAGAAGAGATTTTTCTGTCTGGGATACTTACTACAATTAACACCCTGAAAATGCCGTAAGACATCTCATTCCTTGGGTGGTAAAGAGGTAGGGACAGAGGAACGGGGGGGGGGGGGGGGGGAGGGTTGCTCACTAGCCAGCAGCTTGCTGAAAGGGGAGCTACAGGATCAATGAGAGGCTCTGTCTCAAACAACCCGGTGGAAAGCAATAGAGGAAGACATCCCAATGTCAACCCCTGGCTTCCACAGATGCCTGCATCATGGCCGTGTGTATGTGTGCGTGCGTGTTCTTTTGGCTGGGGATCAAATCCAGGGTTTTGTGCATGACAAGCAAGTTTCCACACCACTGAGCTACATCCCCAGACTCTAGAACATATTTCTTAGATAACTGAGGAAGCAGACTATTGTTCTATTATTGTTTTATATGACGTGGGACATTTTAAGATTATCTGGAATATCTCTCAAATTCAAGTTTACGGATTTCAATCTGTTCCACTGGAAAGGTCGAGAATTTGCATTCTGTGTAAGGGGCTACCCACTATTGTCTCTTGAGTCTGATATGTTATAGGAAGTAGTTAAGTGTTAATTTTCTTTTTTAAATATTTTTTTTCCTTAAAGGAAGGCTCTCAGCACTCATCCTCTGTCCCTCTCCCTCCTGTGCTTGTGGGCTTTTTGCGTATTGAGACAGCAGAAGAGGAAAGCCTTGTTGCTTCCACAGCTGGCCATAGTTACAGTGCTCCAAAGCCTGAGAAGCCACCTTCTTCCTATCCTTTATCCAGGAGTTCAGTGACCCTTGCTTACTGACCTTAGTCATATAGTCAAAGGCTCTACAGGTAATGGTCCCCAAGCTTAAGGGTGCCATTGTACATCTTCCAACTCTGTGCCTTAGAATGACCCACCTGGTGAGCCCCCTGCACCTGCATGTTCTGCTGTCCGTCAGTGCATTTGTATTGTTAGCCTTAGAAGCATCGGCTCTGTGACTACGAAGTACCTCATTCAGCATCGCCACACAGAGGGCGAAAGCGGCAAAGGGACCCGGAAGCTGGCTCAGTGGGCAAAGCACTTGCTGCACAGGCATAGTGACCTGAGCTCAGATCCCCAGCACTCAGGCAGACTCCGGGTGAGTCCGAGTGTGAATCCTGCTCAACACCACCAGAGAATCTGTTTAAGAGAACTAGCCTCCTGTACTCGGAGCTCTGAACCATGGCTCCAAGTCTGAATCATCATTTCCTATCGGTTGTCCCCATCTGACCCTTGCAGACTAGTGGGTCCCCACTGTGAAACTCCAACAGTCGAGCTTAATCCATCCCTTCAGCCCTCACCTTTCCCGAATCACCCCAGGGATATTTGGGCAGCATTTTGAAACCTAAGGGCGGAAGGTAGAATGAAGACACACCTGGATCAAACTGAGACTGCTATGCAAAAGCCAATTTACACGTTTAGCGCTGGCTCTGACTACAGTGAACTTCAAATAATCTACCTGACATCCAAATGGGAAAATCTCATTTTCTAGGAACCTCCTGGTTTTGAAGAAAGATAGCTATCTGGTTGGTCTCAAGGAAATGACTTCTTCCTGCTCCGTTTCATAGCCTCCTTGAAAGACTTCACAGTGTGGAGTGTTTGCCCAGAGGAGAAGGAAAATCAGCTTCTGTGACTCCATGCCACCTTGGGGACAAGTTTAGCCTGCTTTCACATGCTATTTGTATTGTATCTCTACAAAGCTGTCGAGAACTTTCCCATCAAGGGCAAGGCCTTCTCAAGCTTGGCACAGTGACGTCTGGACCAGAACGCTCATGGTTGTGGCACTGGCCTATTTTCTAGCATCTTCCCGGTGTGACAATTAAAACATCTGCAGATATCACCAACTGTCCCCTACTTCCAAGTCACCAGTCTAGATGTATAGTCTGAAGCTCAGGGTAGCTACACAGGTGGAAGGCATCCATGGGAGACCAGGCCCAGTGGCCATGTCTACCTACATGGATGCTGAAGGCAAGGCTCAGGCTTACCTGAGCATGTTCCAGCTCCTTCTCCAGAGCTCTTCTGGCAGAGGTGGCTTCCTGTTCTTCCTGTCTGGCATGTGCAAGGGCTCCCTCTAGCTGCTGAACTTCATTCTACAATGAATGGGTCAAGATGGGTCAAGAAATGGCAGGGATACACTCTGATGTGTTCTGATGCCTGCTGTGCCCAAGACAAACGATGGCTATGACCGTAATGTGTCTGTCTGTCATGGGGTCAAGACAAGGGACAGCTGACTGTGTCCACCTCTGCAGTCCCTTTTCTAGCCACATGTGACTTATTTTTTTTTTCTTTATTACAAATACCCAAGCTTTATCTCTGGAGATTCAGAAACTCCAGGTAGGGGAGAGATTGGGCAAGGCACTACTGATGGGTGCCCGGTGTGTCCCTCCCGTTCTATCGCTGTAGCTTACCGCCTTTCCTCAACAGCTTCTGAAGCCCTGGTAAAGTGGATAACTGGTTTGCTGAAATTTCCAAAAATACCAGCTATGTGTCAAAGAATGTCTCTAGCAACTCAGCCTAATGGCAGCATGAAGACAGCCTCTGCAGGTGTTTAGCGGTCCCCCACGGAGCCTCAGAAAGATGCGTATGTCTGATTCGGGAGTCACTGTGTACGGTGCAGCCCAGGCCGGTGTTTCCCACCCTGGTATCATTAGCCCTACTCCCAGACTCCAGTTCCCACCACTCCTAGAGATGCTGGCAGGTCACCTTGACACCCTTAATAAATCCTGACAGCCCTTCCCCAGCTCTGGAATCACTATAGCAAAGAGGGCCACGAGCTGCCAAACCCCAGCCCAGGCCCAGGGAGCCTCACCTCACACTTGCGGAGTAGCGCCTTTGCGTGGGCCTCGTCATCTTTCACATCCTCGATCTGCCTCTGCAGCTGGGCCAGTCTGCGCTCCAGCTCTACAATCCTTCCCTGTAGCTTCTCGTTCTCTTCCTTCAGCACTTTCTCACGCAGGTCAGCCTCTGCTTGGCTCTGCTCTGATGAGTTGCTCCTGCTGGCCAGGACCTCCACATTCTAAGAACGAAGAACAAAGGCATGAGTGTTCTCAGGTGGTCCCCATCTCAAGGGAAGCTGGAAGTTCCTGGCTAACCTGGGGTACTTATGTTCAAAGCTAGCCAAGGTAACTTAATGAAACCCTGTCTCAAAATATGTTTTTTAAAAGCTGGAAGTATAGGTTTGTGGCAGTGGACTTGCCTAGCATGTTTGAGGGACTCATTTCTTTCTATCCCTCCCACCCCTCAGACGAGGTTTTCTCTGTGTAACAGTCCTGGCTGTCCTGGATTCGCTTTGTAGACCAGGCTGGCCTTGAACTCACAGAGATCATCCTGCTAAGGTTAAAGGCATGCAGTACCACCACCCGGCTGCAGGATTCATTTTCAACACCCAGCATTAAGAAAATAAAAATTACGCTAAATGTCAGGATAAGAAGACAGTGTGAATGACAGCCTACAGGCCACTTGCCTGCCATCTGCTCTTAAATGAGATATGGGCCACAGTAGAGCTATGTAGTTTGATACCAGGCAATACAAAAAAAAAAAAAAAAAAAAAAAAAAAAAAAAAAGTAAAAAGATAAATCATAAGAGCATAATCATGCCTACTCATTGGAAGATTAATGATTATCTGGGACAGCTTCCATAGAATGCCTGCCAGCCCTTCCCTGTATTCAGCCCCCTTTGAGGTATCCAACTTGAAGGATCCTGGAAACGATTCTCACCCCACCTGGAAGATGGGGAAAATGGGTAGGCTGGGGGCATAGCAGCTGTTAATACGTGAGCATACACGAAGCCCTGGGTTTGATCCTTAGAATCACATACACTGGGTGTGGTGGGCACATCCTCCAGCACTAATGTGGTACTAGCAAGAGAAAATAGAGTTCAAGGTCATCCTCTGCTACAGAATGAATTTGAGGCTAGCCTGGGCTACACATGACCTTGTCACAAACAAAAGCAAACGAGCAAATGAAGACAGCACCCCTTCACAAAATGAACTCAAAATGGGTCATGAACCCAAATTCTAGAACTAAAACCATTAAAGCTTTTAGAAGACACAGGAGTGCATATCTGTGATTTTGGTTTAGGCAAAGGTTCCTCAACTACAAAACCAGAAGCACAGATGATAAAAGGACAGACAGACTTTTGTGTGTGTGAGTATATGCTTGCATGTATGTGTACCGTGTGTGTGAAGTATCCAAGTCATCCAGAAGAGGGTGTTCTATTCCCCCAGGACTGCAGTTACAGGTGGTTGTGAGCCTGTAACTCACTGAGAGAGAGTAGCCCCTGAGAAGTAAGAAACTTTTACAATGCTGGGGATACCATAAGGATGATAAGATGGCCCACAGAACAAGAGGAAATATTTGCAAATCAGATCATATATATATTCTTCACCTTCCTAATAAAAGATAAGCCATCTTTTATCTATTTTTTTTTTTTTTAAGCAGAATCTCTCACATAGTTCTGACTGTCCTGGAACTCATTCTAGACCAGGCTGGCTTCAAACTCACAAAGATCCACAAGATTCTGCCTCCCAAGTGCTGGGATTAAAGGTGTGCACCTCGATACCCAACAAACCACCCATTCTGGACAAGAGCAATGGATAGGAATAAATTTGTCTTCAAAGAAGATACAGGAATGAGCACAGGAAAAGCTGCTTAATACTGCTAGTCACTAGGGAAGGGCAAGCAGAGCCACATTCATACACACCTGGTGCTAGGGAGCATAGAGGAAAACAAAAACCCTCATGCATCCCTGAGAAAATACAAAATTGTGTAGCCATGCAGGAAAGTTGTTAGATCCTCCAAACAATTTTAACCAAGTCTTCCCCATGACCAGCTACTTTGCTCTTTTCTATATGCCTAAGATAAAAATAAAAACTTCCACTCACATTAAAAAAAAATGTATATACACATGTGCAAGGCATCATTCATAGTGTCCCCAAAGTGGAAACAACTTCTATTCCCATCAATGAATGAGCAGATAAGTAAGATGTGGCATGTGCACACAGTGAACTAATATCTACTCATTAAAAGAAACGAAATGCTGATATACGCTACAACAGAAAACATGATGCCAAGTGAAAAACACATGTCATAAAAGATCCTATAGATGCTGAAGGAAAGGTCTAGAACAGTAAATCTAAAGATACGGAAAAATAGCTTAATGGTTGGCCAGGGCTAGAGGAAGGGCCGGGGAAGAGGTGGGGAGGGTCGCATGCATTTTCATTTGAGACTCAATGAAAACATTCTAGCATCAACTATAGTAATGGCGACACAATCCTGTATATGCACTATAAATCACAGAGTTGATTATTATGTGAATTATAGAGTAATGTAGCCATCTTTCTTTTCTTTTTCTTTTAGATTGACTGACACAAGACCTAGAGGGCAGAGTAGGGATGATGGACAAAGTTTTTTACCCTTAAGCATGGGTCTAGTTGTCTGACAGATTTATTTGTATTTAATGAGTGTTTGTCTGCATGTATGTCTGTGTACCACATGCATGCTGTGTCTGAAGAGGCCAGAAGAGGACACTTGATCCCCTGGAGTTACAGGTGGCTATGAACTGCCATGTGCTGGGAACCAACCTGGGTCCTCTCCAACAGCACCAAGTGCTCTCAACCTCTGAGCCGTCTCTCCAGCCAGGGCACAGGGTTTGCAGAAGTGAGAGGAGAGAGAGGCCTGGTGGCTGTCCAAACCTTTCCATGAAGGAAAGAACAATTGCTTATGTGGCCAACAGATTCTAACTCCCGTAGAAGTCTCGGGAAAAGGAAGGATGTTGGAAACCAGGTCTGATTCAACGCTGGTTTGAACTAACTCACACCCTGGCCTGCTAGAGAAGGACACTTGGTCTGTAAGTTCACAGCTGCCAGGGTCACCCCAGCCTGAGCCTCCACAGTGGCACAGGCTGTGTTTGGCTCTAGGGAACATGGGTATATCCTGACACTTGGTGCTGGTTTGATTATTTGCAAAGTGCTAATTTGCCTTTCTCTGTGTTCACAGTGTGGTAAACCGCATTGTGTTTACAAATAGTTTAACATTTAACATAAGCCTTTGCTGGCAAATCTCTCCAGAAACCATGTCTGTCCCCTGTTCCCCCCACCTCCCCTAGCTCACTATTTTATAAAAAGACCGGAAAACAAACTTCCCCTTTTCCTGGAACCATACCTAATTCAACAACAGCCCTGGCATCTAAAAACAAACAAAGCCCATACCCTTTTGTTTAAGGCAAGGGCCACATGAAAGTTCTTCTATGCAAGATCCAAGCAAAGAAAGTTGGTGTAGAAAAGCTCTTCCAGGGCCCCCCCCCAACTCCCAAATTCCCTGATTCCCACATCATCTTCTCCAGATTCTTAGTGCTGTCTGGGTCTGGTTCATGTGGCAGAGATGTCAGAGCTGACCCAGAAGGTCACAGGACAGACACAGAAGCCATATTTAATAGTACCAGGGCTATTTCTGTGACTCTGATCTTCCCAGATGTCACAGCAAGATTAGAGAGACCATACCACCAGACCAAAGACACACTTCTGATTCACAGAGCTGTGTTTGCCATTTAGCATTTTAACTTTCTCCACTCACCCAGGCAGCCACACGTAACAAAAGTCAACTCAATTCCCTGTCACTCCAGCAACTTGAAATCCCTATACTGCATCATGGCCACAGAGCAAATGTACCATTTAATACTATCGTTTTCCAAGCCTGAACCATGACTAAAAGCTGCATTCAGATAGTTTCTCCATCATCAGGCAGCCAAGCTAAAAAGTTTTGGTAACAGTGTTTGGGCAAAGTCAGAAAACATGGCTCGGGTGAAACACTGGCTGGAGGACCTAGAAGGCAACGAGGTAGTAGCTATTAAGCTCCAGAGGACATTCCCTTTTCACAGTAACTTGTGAGTACCACAGCCTAAACACGTGCAAAATGGTACATACCTTTAATCCCAGTACTTGGAAAACAAGGGGATCTCTCTCTGAGTTCAAGACCAGCCTGGCCTACACAGTGAGTTCCAGGCCAGCCATGGTTACAAAGTGAAGAGTATGTAAGACAAAAACAAAACGAAATGAGGTGCTGTACCATAAAAGCCTGCGATCTACTGGATGACATTCAGTATTGTGTCTGTTCAATGGTGCTATGCAGTAGGGAATGAGGGAATGAGAGTGAACAACAGACAAGGGCAGGACAACCCATCGAGCCTTTCTGTGCATAAGACAGGTGGTAACCTGCGGACCTGGCTTCACTATGGACTGGCGGTTCTGACTGACCGAGGAAGTGGAGTGGCTGTGGGAAAGTGAAGGTAGGTTTCTCCATTGCAAACTCTCTTATAATGTCTTCATTCTGAACCACAGAAACTCAGCATGGGTCCACAATTAGAAAATAAATGTGCACTTTCTTTTAAAAGTTCAACCTGGCACCTGGAGGACAATCAGGCAAGTTCTCACCTCCTCCATCCTGTGGAAACCCTTCCCCAGCCTGTTCACAGGCCCTTCTGCACAGTGAGAGATAGCAGAGCCCAGCCACAGCTGCACAAACACAGCACAGACTGAACTCTCACGCTGGTTTACACAGTGAAGCGATTCCTTCTCACCATCAATAGTTAGGAGGGTGAACAGGCTCCAGCGCCCGGGGCCCACACTTTGCAATTGCATGAGTGTTTCTCCAGCATTTAAACAAACCAACAAGGAGGTGGAGAAGCCCATTGTGAGGTGAAGAGAGAAAGCCCCAGGGGCTGTGGACAGCAGCCCTCAAGGCTCAGGTTTCTGCCTTTCCCTTTGTGACATTTTAAATCTATGCCATGGCATTTTAGGGTGGGAGATGGGTGGGGTGCAGGTGCACATGTGTGCATCTGGAAGCCAGAGATCATCCTCAGGCACTTTTTTTTTTTTTTTAAACAAGGTCTTATATTATCCTGGAACTCACCAAGTAGGATAGAGAAGCCAGCCAGCCAATCCCAGAGATCTGCCTGTCTCCATCTCTGAAGCACTAGGATTATAAGTACCTGATACCACACCCAGGTTTTTCCACAGAT